AATAGTAAATAAGTTTCCCAGCCAATCGAATTATACTTCATTTGTGTGGTTCAAACCAATCTATTGTCTTCTAATCTGAAATGAAACTGCATCAGCACTACCTGTAAATTCGCAGAGAAACATAATCAACTGGCTAAGTATACTTTTCATGAATTTGAAAGAAATGAATATCGATGGATAGTTAGACAAAAACTGGTAAGAAGTTATGGTCACATTTTTCGTGTCTCCTGTCAGTAAACGGCATCGCGATTCGTGTGGTTAGCCTGGCTGACTGCATCTAGTAGGATCATCACACTAGGTGTGATAGTAATTGCAAACTACCAGCCTATCACATTTGACATTATCGAAAACAGTCATCATAGATGTCAAATATTTCAGCGTGAACAATTCAAATGGCAGTAGATCGTTGCTGACGGTATTGAAGAAGCGTTCGATTAAATTACTGATCCACTGATTTCGTTCTCAGGATCCTGGTACATATGCAAAAACAATGAAGTTAAGTGGAATGCAAAACTAGCATTACATATACTCGTTCTGTTTGCTGGTGCCATGTAATTAGATTGAAATGGGAACCTCAGAAATAGGGTCTGAACAAAATGGACCGGGAATAATTTAAAGCTACAAATAATTATGCATACATATATGACAGCTTCAAGGCCATCGTGGACTGCTGAATGCTTCGTCAATCCACACAAGCTTCTTCTACTGGCACTAGTGGTATTAGATGTCAGACATACTCATCAGCGATGTACTCAGGCACTACTGACGTTCTAGGAATTGTCCTGGTGCGAATTTGACAGACGCAAAGGTCAATCACTAATTATTCTAACTTGTTATGTACCCACGAATACGAGACCAAGGAAGAACACGATAGTGTAGTCGGATGGAATAGTGTATTTGTGTGCTTGTGCCAGATACCGATGCGTTCCAACTGACTGGTTAAAGAGTCGATTACGAGCAGTGCAACGTAACACGACAGCGTGCCAAATGGCCAGGATGCCTGGTCAAGTGCCTGCAGCTTAGCAAGTCCAGCTAAATTTTCAAATCAGCATTAATGTTGAATCTCGTCAAAACCTAGGCTATTGAATTTGGGGAAGTGTGTGATGCTACAGTCCACTCCCCCCTCCCTAGTGGGTTCGTGAGGACCCTAAGACTATACGATGCAGAAGTAAAAACCCGGTGATTTCTACACTGGCAAAACTCTTACGATAGCCTCACTGCGAGAAGTGGCCCCTGACTGTTTGAACTTATTCTACGGTGAAAAATGAAATTCAATAAATCGAAGTGTACGTCGTTAGCGGTCCTCAGTTTTTTCGACGTTTCGTCCAGTGCTCCTTGCACCTTGAATTTAAATAAAAGACTTTAATACAACGAAAACGTTTCGTAAAAATGAGAATTATGTACATATAATTATATCAAAAATGAAGTTTATGCTTATTTTCACTTTTTTTTAAAAGGGTTTCATTACACGGTAATAAGAAATTGATATAAAAAGGCAAAATGTACGAGGATTTTCGCATTGTTGGTAAATAAGCAAAATAGTGCCCCGAAAAAGTAATTTGAATTTTAAAAAAATATGGTTGGCACATCTTATTTCACACCACTAAGTTGAATACGACTTCAAGTACTCCGGGAACCTGACGGTTCGACCTGATTGTGTTTTCTGTTGCGCTAATGGTTGTTGTAACTGTGCACTACCAGACCATCGTCATGAATTTCGATAATTGGGCTATCCATCGGTCGGCTATAGCGAGTTGAACGTCACTTATAATTGGGTTGCCTTCGAAATAAGCTGGTCTCAAATGATCGATACTAACAGTATCTTCACGTCCGTCTCGCTCAATCATATAGAATTTCTCGTGTCGCTTGATCACTTTGAATGGCCCATAGTAGGGTGTTTCAAGTGGTCGACGAACGGCGTCGTGGCGAATAAATACATGTGATATCTTTTGTAAACTGGGCTTAACGAAAACATTAGTCGTTTGATGTCTAACCGGAGAAGGCCTAACTGAACGCATTGCGTTCGTAAGCCTAGTCACGTACGATGCCTGTTGGAAAGATGTTTGAAAGTTGAAGGAGAAACAAACTCACCTGGTAGGCGAAGAGTGGTCCCATAGACAAGTTCTGCAGGGGTGCATCCAGTATCAACTTTCAAGGCGTTACAAATACCTAGTAGGACTAGAGAGAGAGCCTCGGTCCACTGAGGTCTGTTTGCAGCTGAAAGGGAAGCTTTCAGCTGTCGATGGAAACGCTCCACCATGCCATTTGCTTGTGAATGGTAGGCTGTCGTTCGGAACCGAGTGCAACCCAAAAGTGCAGTTAAAGCGTGAAATAATCTACACTCAAATTCGCGCCCACGGTCAGCCGTTACGTAAAATGGATATCCAAAGTTTGCGATCCATCTTACAATGAAAACAGGCGCGACAGTTTCAGCAGTAATGTCCTTAATGGCTACTGCTTCTGGCCATCGTGTGAAACGATCAACACAAGTGAAAAGTTAGGTACATCCATTGGATTCTGGTAGAGGTTCTACAATGTCTACATGGACGTGGTTGAAACGCACGTCTGGGGCTGGAAAAGAGCCTAAAGAGCTTTTCGTGTGTCGTGTGACTTTGCACTTCTGACAAGCTAAACACGACTGAGCCCGCTTTTTAACGTCTTTGTTCATCCCAGGCCAGCAGAAACATTGTGCATTAAGCCTAACGGTGGCTCGTGCACCTGAGTGGGACAGTTTAGGCAACGCATTGAAGACGTTTCGTCGACAACTATCGGGACTGTTGGGCGTGGTTGACTAGCAGAGACATCGTACAAAATTGTATCCTTGTCTGATCTTACTGGACACAGTGGCAGCTCGAGAGTTGTGGACGACAACTCATGATGCAGCTCAAGGTCTTCTTTGTGACACCGAGCTAGATCGACGAGATCAACGCCTTCGATACGGTTTATCGAAGCTATTCGAGGTAGTGCATCAACTACGGAGTTATTTGATCCCAAAATATGGCAGATAGCTGGCGTGAACTGGGAAATGTAATCACGAGGGGAGCATTTGTTAGATGCCGAGCTAAGAGAGAAGGTTAACGGTTTGTGGTCTGTGAAAATAATGAAGTCATGACCTTCCACCGAATTTCGAAAATGGCATACAGAACAGTACATAGATAGGAGTTCCATACCAAATGTACTGTATCTTGTTTCCGCGTCTTGCAGCCGCCTCGAGAAAAAGGTTACAGGTTGCCACTGGTTGTCAGTCAACTGTTGCGAGACTGCTCCAATTGCTGAGTCAGGCGCATCAACAGCAATACTCAAAGGAGCATTGGGGTTGCAATGCATAAGCATGGCCGCGGTTGAAATGGCTTCCCTGAATTCAGAGAAAGCAAGTCTAGTCACGTTGTCCAGAGTCGTGAACTTCGTAGTCCCTCCAAGCAGATCCGTTAGTGGTCCCATGACAGAGGCACAGCTGGGAGTAAACCTTGGGTAATAACTTACCAGGCCAGAGAAAGTGGGGAAATGTTTTACAGCTGTCGGCTCTCGACAGCTAGTGATAGCCGCCACTTATCTCGCAATGGGCGTATACCTTTATGTCAATGATGTGCCCGAGGAAGCTGGAGAATCAACGCCTAAATCACATTTCTCCAGATGCTATGACTCTCGGGAAGGCAGATAAGATCGGTTGTCGGACCGACAAACAAAATATATGCGCGACGCTTTGGACGACTAAACTTGTTCACATTAAGCTATCAAGGAAAAAAGGCGACGTAATAACAGCCCACCACCCCAGCTGGTCAACGTTGTCGGCCCGAAACCAACGGTCTCGTTGGAACCCCACGCGCTCACCCCTTCACGTGGCAAAAAAGAAAGGGAGATCGAACTTCTCACATAGTGTATGTTTTAGGGAACCCTCCGGCGAACGAGATTGACACAGCTACACTAGTTGACTGCTTCAGGACTCCAACAGTAGCAACTGGAAGCATGCTCATCCATTCCTATGTTTCCTAACCCCAGTTTTTCAAATAAGACCCGTCTCTTCCCTATAGTATTACCGGTAACACTTAGATTTCCAATAGTACTTTTCACTCCTCTTTTTCTCACCCCTAACCCGCCCTATTTCTAGCACTTATGAGTAACATCAATTACCTACTTGTAGGTGCCCACAAAAACAGGAATTGCAAATGCTACTTGATCTCATAGACAGCTCCATTGCCCTCCTAAACAAAATGAGCTGCAGTTTGAAGGAAAAAATACCTGAAGATAGACGATCACTACCACCAATAATGTGAGCAAGAAAAACGTGGGGATTTCTGAAGCTGCCGAAGGAGTGTAAGCGAAGGAAAAATGGACCGGAGCCTCAAGGTATAGAAGCTAGAGCTCAAAACCACAAGTTTGTTCTGCTCGCGCCAGTGGTGTTAGATGTCAGACACTACTCAGGCAATACTGACCTCACTAGCCGATTATTATTTCCCTCTTATTTATTACTTAACATCTGTTTGTTCATGTTTACCTGATTTCTCCTGCAACGCTTATCTGGCTACCATACTTAGCCACTCGCTTTCACTCTTCAAAATCTTTATCTACGACCTCTTCTACAGCTCCCATTCAGGCAAGTATGTAGACAGGAGTCACAAAAGATCCCCTCATCAATCCAGTAACTGACAGCTTAAAACCAACTCACTCCACAAGTTGCATATAAAATCATACAAAAACACGTCGAAAGAGCTGCGTACAAAGACACCCAACCCAGCAGCAAAACCAAACGCTAACAACTGAACCCCAGAGTTCAACAACTATCAATTTCCTTTGACCACACTGTTGAGGCTGGAAACCCGGTTCCTCGTTCCTTCTTGTACAACTTGGTTTACGGACACAGACACAACTGACTCATTTCTGAGTAGGGAAATCTTAAAGGTAAAATGTATTTCACTCCACCAACGATTATAAAAATTCTAGCATTTCCTACTGTACATTGAAATCACCCAAATCAAAGGCGCCTTCCAAGATTCGTAAACATGGGTGACAGCAGCGTCATTGAAGAGCCAGACAAATATGAACACTACAATTATGATGAGGATAAAATAGCTGGATCGAAAGGCGGTAAAAACAGGACTAAGAAAGATGCTGATGAACATCACAAGAAGTCGGAGAATAGAGCAAATCGAGTTCACATAGATCATCAGGTTAACAACGAAGAAAAACAACGCGAGCAAAATCTTAAGCATAGTTCGGATGCTAGTACGTAATTGTTTTGCATATTATTATCTCTTCCAGAAGCTTGAATACATGTTTTATAAATAATCCTGTACACATAATAAAGTATCTTAATCTTGTCCGAATTTGCATGCCTTCGTTCTTATCCTAAACTGGTACAGTACTCTCTCAATCCCTGTGTACTTCTGGATCGACCCATGGGAAAACAGTAACGATATTCACGGTGGGTGCTGTTTTACGGTTTATGGAGATAATCTGTGTGTCGTTTCTACTAGCGAAATTACAAGGAGTGTGTAGGTGAGCACTTGTGTTTTTGACCCTGTCGATTTCGCCGATGTTACGAAGTCATCCCAGTACAAGCAAATTTCCTGACCTAAAGACGTCAGTTTATAATTAATCACCCTACCAATTAGTATACTGTACCTATAGATGGCGGCACTTATAACATGGCTACGGTGTTTGGACTTTCACTTCCTCGTCTGAACGTTCTAGACCCATGAAGTGCTCTCTGTGTAGTACCTATGCTTGAATTCCTGTTCACTGATATGCTCTTCTCTAGAACATTTATCAAAGGTCTGTGGCTTTTTGTGAGTGATTAGTAAGAGTTGGCTTAAGAATATCCCCACTATATTTTAGTACACACCTCTATGTTTCCTGACAGCTAGCTCCTACAAGACGGGCACTCGAGATAAGTAGCTCATAGCCTAGTACAGAAACACATATAGTTTACTTGCATTAATCTAGTCAAAGCCTATGTGCCTCACTCTTCACGAAGTAAATGCAGCCTATTACTCGTAACCTCATTTTCACGTATTCACTGAAGGTGCAAAATCAGCTAGCCTAAGATTCGAATAGGCCTTCGGATCGTTAGCTATCGGACGTTCAAACCACTCCACGATAAAACCAGGGCTGGCCACGCACTGGAAAGGTCTCCTGTCCCTTTTCTAGTGCCCTTTCGGGTTGGTCAGAAACAGTTTCGAGCGTATGAATGCGAAGGTTCTGAAGTGGATCTGTGGCTCAGTGGTTTAAGGAGGTGAGTATTATCCGGTGGGTCACGGATTGGAGCTCCGCTCCACCTGCCGAGGTTAGAACAGCTGGCTACTATCACACCTCCACGTAATAGGTATATCATTGTCTAGTGCACAAGGTGGCTGAGTGCGTTTCGTCTGAATGGGAGTTTTGAATCATCCACATGTATTCGTCGCAAGTTGTAGGGATCTCCTAAGCGTGCATGGTCACAAAGTCATGGCAAAGATGTGTCCAAATTGAGGTGTGCTACGTATTTACCTAAGGACAGGAAGTAAATATTACGAATGTGGGGGAGTCGATGTGGGACTGTTCCAGATGATGGAACTGAATACAACGTGTCTTTGTAGCGTGCTTGCGAAGAGACGTGAAACGCTGCCTAAGCACAACAAATGTGACCAACGTAATAATTCTTCGGTCCTGGGTGTTTTTAATGTACGGCTGGTGGTATCAACAGTCACAGTGTCACTCGATCACAAAGGCGCACAATGTTTTGATAACACCCGGTGATTCAGTTAGTGTGTGCACGTGCTGCTTTTGTAAGCGGGTTGTTGTGATTTCGCTAATTTCTTACTCCAAATTTTTGACTGGTGTACCATAAATGGTTTTATATTCAGTGCGTTCAAATGTTACGTGGTTAGTTTTAGGCTAAGATTTGATGGAAACATATTTGAATTGTTTTAGTCCCATGGTTCTTATCTCACAGATGGCTTTGTTCTAGAGAATATATCAAGCATGATCTCTCTTGGTTTTCTGATCATTTTTGGTCACCTCGTGTCTTACTGATTTTGAGGGAAATATGTCGCATGAGCTGTTGTATGAGGAATCTCAGACTGTCTGGCATTGACCAACTTGTGTTCTCCCTTCTCATTAATTTTTGTGTTTTGCCTATACTTATCGTTGTCGTAATTCTTTCCTCAACTCCGGAGGAGAGACTGCTCCATTGAGTAGAATTTTAAAGGCTGTTGGTGGAGTCAGTGTTACACCACTGACAGTAATGATAAACGGGTTCGTGGATAGGCATCTGAACTTTTGTACGGAACTGGCTATAAATGTTGTCTTATGACAAGCATTCGCACTTCTCCATGTCTCCTCAGGAAAGACAAGCAGTCAATATATGAAACTTGACGCATCCACAACTACATGCAGAAGTCTACTTATGTATGTATGTATTGTATGAAGAAAATCATGTTAGACAAAGTCTTGCCAATCAACTTGACAACAGTGAACAGTTGTCACTGCCTTGACGTCACTAAACATTTCAACAACCATGTTATTCTTAATGTATTGCCAAACATTGTAAATATATATTTGAAGGCACAACAGGTTAACTGGTGCAATATCACGTTCCGAGAATTGTATGTTGTAAATATAGTTGTGGTTTGGAATAAAGTATGCTGGACATATTATTATGATGCTTCTGGCAATCTTCTAGCACTTAGCTTTAGGATGATGTGATGCTCGTTTGCTACTTATGAACGCTGCTCTCCAACTTATTCAGTGCAATTCGAATAGTCATGGGTTTCACACCACACCGCTCGGAAATTTAAGGTCCATCTACCAGAATTCGTTCCTCGTAGGAGATTCAAGATGTTGGAAACTCTCTCCGTCTCTAACAGATACTTCCAGAATATGGTCCTGACCAACGAATCGAAGGCAGTTCTATTATAGAGGAATACACAGGTGTTTGACCTGCAGTACCCCTGTCGTCCGGACTATTGGGAGAGACAGGATAAGTACATCCACGACCTGGATTAACCCCGATCTGTTCCTCAATCGCTTTGCACAGACTGGAAAGTATGATTACAGCCAATACTTTGGACGCTACCGAACTGATGCACCAACACTTATAGCATACATCACGTAGACCCTTCTTGAAGATGAATACAACGGTCGGTCGGTTCTAGAGTGGTGTGACACTTATTGTGTACCATAAATCAGGAAGAGCTAGGTTCACGCTGTCTGAACCATCTTGCAGAGCTTTGTCACCTAGTTCCCTTCGAACATCTGCTTTATTAAGTAGCTCAGTGTTGCTGGGGTAATAGATCAGCCGAAGTGCTCCACCCAGCTTTCAAAAAGGTTGTAGATCGGGATCTCATCTAATTCCTACTGACCCCAGGCTGTTTGCTACCGGTGGCTAGTGAGAACTGGAACAGCTTCCGACCATTGCTTAATGCAGCTGCCACTGTCATCTCACACTCCCTGACCACCAGACCTTGCAGTCTTTATGAAAGTGTTGCATGATCTTTTATCACCTTACTCGCTGCCTGCTAGAATACACAGATGAATGTCAAGATGCTTTAAGAAACCCAGTCTTCAAAGTCATAAGTAGCTTCACTCGCCACTTTCATGGCAGCTTGTGAGTGTAGCCAGTGTTATGCGCTCTGGACGGATAAATCTCGCTTTCACTGGTATTTCGTTGCAGTACTACGAGAAATCAATTCGTTTAAATTGACCTGTTTAGGACACTAAGGCCAGTCTAGACATATTTCGGAATGAGCGACAGTCCTAAATACACCCACACCGTCGGTAGCTGGTTGTTTTGTGATCTTGAGTAGTAGCAGAGGGTGGACGTCACGTAGCACAACGGCTGTGCCATAAGTAGGTGCTGGCTAGAAATAAGTTGTGATGTGTACAGAGCTATCTAACTTTCTCCCATTGGCTACCTTAACGCACCCCCTCTGCAATTTAGACGGCCGACCTGTGTATTCGAGTCTCAAGCTAACAGCACGACATTTGTCGGATGCACGTCGTAGAGGTTAACGGTAGAACTAATCTTTAGCTGTTGTTTGCCGGAGCATACGTAGAAATGGTGCAAAAACATTGTTTCACTCGTCAGTTGCTTCTCACTCTAAATGAATCTGAACAACATGCGCACGAATGCCTGTTAGGATCCAGTCGACCAATGTAACACTGACTCTGGCACTTATTGCAATCAGTAGTACTATGTCGAGGGTGGTACAAGTAGAGAACGATGTCTATACAGCTAACACTGTTACTTGATTCAGAACAACAAACAGGCTTCGAGGTAGGAAGTTGCTTGGCATGTGCATTACACGCTGGCACAGATTTGCTTATATCTAATCTAAGAAACTGCACCCTAAAAATGCTGGAGCAAGGCGTTCAGGAGACCTATCTTCGTTCAACAGTGCTATGCGGTCTGCGTGTTCTCAAAAGATACTTTTCGTAAGGAACAGAAAGACGGCTTAACACTCATATCTAAGAAATTATTGACTGTTCGGTCCACCTCTTATCATCTGTCCAGTTCAAGTTCGTTAGTTATTCATATCATTTCTGGTTTTGTTGTTTATAAGTTATTCCATAAACGATACGAACCGTCTTCTGAATCATTACTTCATTTGGCTCTTGCAAGTAATCACTTATTCCGCGATAACGAACGTATACCACTTCGACATGCTATTTCGTCAAACTTCAACTAACCGTTCGACTAGCATCCATCCACTCTATCGCTACTTTATAGCGCACCAAGTGACAGCATCTTTTTTTATGTCTAGAACACCACTAATAAAATTGGATTTGAGTGGAATCATGGGTTATTATCCATTTCTGTACAGAAGTGAACATTGCATAGTGAAGGGTTTTATTTAAGAATTTGATGTGAAGAGGAAAATCGAATGTTAATACTCGTTCGAAGTAGACACTGTATTCTGTAATGATGGATAGTATGAAAGTTTTCAAAACGATATACATGCAAAATGACTAAGCAGTCAAACAAGATCAACGGTTGTAATTCCTTAATTGCCCCTCAGAACCAACGAAGTGAATAAAAATGGAACGACGTTTTTTACACATCATATTCTAGAGAAATAACGCAAGTATGCAGCAAACAGTATTGTTATATTCATTGAGGTACTGTAGTTAACTGTTTGTTTCAAGAACCAAAGACCCCAACAAAAGCCGGTCTGAGTGTGCGTCCATGTAGCATATATCCCACCTTCGTGACCACTGCAACGGTATTTTTCTCTTTTCCTGCTTCCAAAGGAGCCTGAAAGACAGCCTCATGGAAGTGTGGATCAAAAACCTCACCAACTTTCGGAGAAATTGGGACCAAACTGTGGCGTGCGAATACCTTTATTATGAGGAACAGTGCAACGTATACAAAAAGAATTTATAGGTAAAGCAAACTTGCGCAGATAAAAAAAATGTGAATGTTGGGAGCTATTCTCCATTGCTAAGTTCACTATGCTCCACTTCCCGTTAAGTAGTTCTATTCCACGAATATAAAACCAATAATCCAGTCACTCAAAATCAACATGCGGGGCTTGGCACTACTACCTGACGATCCAAGATGCCACACCTCATACCAACATATCAAGCGAGAACGCACCAAGGTACAAGGTAGAGAAGGGAGTAATTCACAGTGACGACTAAGATGAGAGTACATCTGCACCAGACTTCGATTCTGATACATATCATTTAGGGTTTCTTAGTTTGTCGTCATATGGACCCCAACCGGGAAGTCCGCAGTCCCCCACACGACTCAAACCGACAGTCAAAGCCTTCAAAGACTGGTGGCATGTTTTAGTCTGGGAACTTTTAACATTTCCCCAGCCTGAACTCCCATCAGCTAACGTTGTGCGAGGAGCAAGACGGCAAACTAAGTAAGCGTAGCGTAACACATGTTCTAACCACCTGAGTCGATTATTGTTGGCAACCTCATCAACTGGATTTTCACTTCTCCATAAAACTCTGCATCTGACTTCGGCGTTACTGACGTGGTGGCACCAAGAGACATGGCCTATGCTACGAAGACGGCGGTGGTCGAACACTTCAAGCCTTCTCATTTTCACTACAGGAGGTGGCCAGACTAAAACATGTCATTAGTATGTGAAGTCTTTGTTGGTTTGAGCCATGTGGGTCGATTCAGACCAGCCGGTTGGGGTCGGCGAGACAAGAGGAACCAGTGGTTGGAGACTCTAGGTGTCATATGGCTGAGAACCGATGTCACTGAGGCAGATGTATGCATACATTATCCTCATCTTAACGTCGCTATATCGAATCTCACCATTTTGTCATTCTTTCTTCTTGTACTTTATATTTCTTCTGACTGCATTCTCTTATCTTCATCCCTCACGTCACTACCTTTCTACTTGATGTACTGATATGAGGTGTGGCAACTCGGACCGTTACACAGTAATGCCTGGTCCTATGTTGATATTGATGATGACGATGACTACATTTAATGGTTATGATTTACAGACATGTAGTAGAAGAGAGCGAAATTCAGCGCAGTACACTCGACCCTTTAATAGGCAGTCAGATATCACGGCGGTAAAATAAACCGCTTAAGTTGGCAAAGGTCAAGTGAATCTTCGGAATGTGTGCAGAAACTTCGGTCAGTGACCCACTAGGGTTGACCTCATTTTCCAGTTAAGTGGGACGACTAACGCGCTCAACCATCCCACTCCTTTTTTATTGAACAATACACTAACCAATACCAATTCTAGAGCGAAAATTTGCACTTGGGTGGTGATATGCATCAAAATTACTGTTCAAGGTGTTAGTTAGTACCTGCATTTCATCAGTCTTCACTTTACATGTCTGCTATGACCGGTTATAAGACGCACTCCAGACCCATCAAGGAGTCTCCTGAGACATGATCAATCCCTGTGAAGCCAGATGACGGGGAATCCAATAAGTACTTGTATGATACAGTTGAATAAGAGAGAACGCATACCGTTGATGTATATCACTCACCTGGAAACTCATAACAGGCTCTAACACGCCCAGTGGTACTCGATTACATATTTTTCATTACATGGCCTTCCGTCCAGTGACACTGTCATAAGAACTAGATCAACAGAGTCACATGTTAACTCTAGGTTAAGAAATAAAACTGGCATCGGTTAATGTGCCCGTGTTTCAGGACTTTTAACAACCGCCACCAGACCTCCTTCAAGCGTCCCTAGTTTTCACAAGTTTGCTGTTCTCGAGCTCCATTTAGACGTCCAATAGCGATAGGACTAGAATCGTAGAGACTATTCATCAAACTGACTCTTCTGTGGTTATCGTACGAAACTCGCATTTCTTGAAGACCGGGACAACCAGCGATTGAGACCGATCAAAAGTGGTCGTCTCTGACTCCTATAGACTACCTAATACTTACGTCTACCTGATCAATAATCCACTACCCGGATCCCTAAATACATCAGGTACTAGTCTACGTGCCCTTCCTCGTTTCAGATTGCTTACGGCCTTCTCAACTTACGGAAGAGTTTGAGGGTCTATCTTTGTGTTTAACCCCCGAGCAATAGATGTTACGTTGACGTGGTGATCGGGTTTGTATATCACAATAAAACAAAGAGCTACATTGGTTGACACGCTTATTCCTTGAGGTTCTACCATTCCGGAAGGTCTGGTGGTTAGTAGTAAGACAAAAGACAGTTTTCGATGAAGTGTAAACTACCACGCTATGATACAGGCGCGAGGGAAAAGCCGTATTACTAGTTGGATGGGACGTCATATGGTCGATAATGCCACGCTGATGTTGCCTCCCCTATGGAAAGGATGGGTTGAAAAAGGTTGGTCCCCAAAGTAGCGCACCCTGCTACGTTATCTTCCGAAGCTGATGGTTTGGGGTTTTTTTCCTATCCGGCATTAGAACAACCAAATCACAAACCAACAACCCTAAAACAGCTACGTGACAGCACCCTAGCAGATGTCCCTTGAGCTCGGTGGTCACGCAAATTTATTCCTTTCTCTTTTAGGTACCTTACAGAAACAACTTTCACGGTGTGGGCAGTCAAGAAGTACGGGCCGCCCACGCTTCCAGGAGTATACGAAACCCAACCCCTATAACCTAAACCCTCTTAACTTTCTCTCCTCATTCGCCTTCAGTTTCTTATGCCAATATTAACCCTCTTACAACTTTCCTTAAACCCCGACTCAGCGATACAAGCCAAAGAAGCACATAGGAGCTTCCAACATCCGAACATTATACCACGTCGGAAAACAGGAATCTCCGGCCATGGATGTATGTTGTATTATTGCGACACGTACACGACTCGTGTGATTATTCACTTGAACTCATCTCGCCAATGCAGTGAATTTACAAGGATTCAATGGCTAGCTCTCACAGACTCACTGGTGTAGGTATAGCACTAAGTTTTCGAGCACAAAGTGCACTTCTCGACTGGATGCAAGTTAACAGTTCGGCTGAATAGATCTTTAAGAATTGGAAACAATCGTGACACTAGCTGATGTCTATTCATAGTCTTCGTTTACACAATGACTGCAGTTCGGATGACGAAAAGGATGACTTCCACTAAAAAAATGTCGATCTTGCGACAAAAGGCAGAACATTCAGATAGTCACAGTAGCAGGCAGTTTCAACGCTTAAGTAGAAAGCCGAGCCAACCAGGAAGGCGTCTAAGCCAACGAACTCGCAATGCTGGTCGTTAGTTAAAATGTTGCTCCACAGATGGCGTAGGTTGGCGAAGGCCAACGGAGTCTTTTGTTTCTTTGCAAAGGTTTCGTCGGTCAGTGATCCATAAGGGCTGATCCAACTACTCATGCAAGTGAAATGGTAAATGCATTCAAACGCTTCACTCTCCAATGCAAGCCAGGGCACCGTTGAAGACCAGTTCCGGAGTAAAAACTTGCATTCTGATGGCAAGAAACGCAAGGAACAGGCAGGACTGAAGTGTTCGACTGGAAGATGAGAACGTTAAGTGTACTGACGTACGAGATAACTAAGTATTTTTTTGGAAATAAAAGCAATTCTTTCTTGCTAACCATAGCGGAAGTTACAGCAATTAAAATTCATACATTCGGAAGATGTTTGTTCGTCCCCTTTCCCTCCCATGGCCGTCAACTTCAACCCAGATACAATTACAATAAATTCCTTCGTGGTCAACCGGATGAATGTGAATATTACTTCTGTTTGTACTCTTATCATTATCATTTTACTTTTCGCTAGGAATTCTAACATTTTATTATCTAATCACTATGTGACAATAATTTTATTTCCTTCTCTCCTTGCGCACACAGAATTGACTCACATATCTACAAAGATTGACTGCTGAGAATATATATATAAAGACTTTTTGTCATTATCACCTTCAGTGTTATCTTCTAATCCCCATACACCCGAACTAACGTAGCCACGTAGGTATCAAACGACTACGTTGAATAATTTGTAAATGTCTTGGTTGTGTTGTGTTCTCTGAGCTGGACTGTATAATGGACTGTGTTACCAACTTATCAAAACAACCACTAACAAAAACGGAAGAAATTCTTCAAAAAGGGTTGAATTAGAACACAAGAGAAGCCTCGAAACCAGAATTCTTTACAGCATTAGAATCGTCACTTAAAACATCAGGATTAAATAAGGTCACTTAACAAGAAATACGGCAAACAATCGTACAACTGATCAGGCAGAAGAGACATCACGTTCAAATGAACACTCAAGAAACACCAATAAACAACTCAGATCAGAGAACACAATACAACCAAGACCATCCACCCAAACTGCGAATATTCTCCACCATTTCAATTTGTAAATGTAAAGCCCGACGAGAATTTACCGAAAATACATATTCACTTCAAACTCTATCTTCTAATTATCACAATGGTATGACAAGCAGTCTACTGTAGAAACGGCGACAAAAACAATTAGTAACCTACATCCAAAGGTAAGAATATAAAAGGGATTTTCGCAACGTTATCTGAACTGCTTGGTGTAAGAAGGCTGATTCCAACCGTCTCTGACGACAGCGAGAAGCGAAAGCAGCTCAGACGCAAAGCGACTAGGAGTTTTCACAATGGTCGTGGTGAAAGTGAAGGCATCAGTACTAACTAACACAGCAACTATTTCGGTTTATTAGGATACTGAAAGGAATGAGGCGATTGTCAATGAGATCATCAATCAACAGCACGGGTCTGTAGTAACCTTACAAGAAAGTCAGCTACAAAGTTGGGCCAAACACTTTGAAGCACAGTTCAATTGGTCCATAGAAACGCTTTAGTTGCTCAACGTCCACTCCAAGCCTCGAAGGGACTTGGATGTCGGTCCTCGAGGTTTAAAAGGCTGTCCCTAAACTGAAATGATGCACAGTGCCAGTAACTGACGGTTACTGACCACATACCTTCAAGGACGGGAGTAGAAAATCGCTGAGTAAAGTAGTGAAGGCATTAGCTAGTGTATGATAACCAGAGGTAGTCTTATCAGCTTGATCTAGATTTTTGATAATTGTACTTTCTAAGAGAAGTAAGAAGTCTGTTTGACAACCACAAGAAGCACTTATGGTTCATAGTTATCCGATACCTAATTGATATTCCAGAACAAAAACCTTCAGAAACCATGCAGGCTTCAGACTTGGAAGAGGGTGCATCGATCACATTTTCATACTTCGGCAGACTTTGGGAAACCGACACACCTACTGCTATCTGACACTTGCTGAATTGCGAAACCCGAAAAAGGCATTCGACTCAGTCGACTGATTATGAATTGTATGATGCTAATCAAGGCGATCTACTCGAACTTACACAGTCGTATAAATGCTTGTGAAGAGCTATCAACCGAATTCACAACAACTAGTGGTGCCTGCCATGTATGCTGATTGTCATGGTCCCTGCTTAACTTCATTAGAGACATGCTGATCGACATAGCCTTAGGTACCGCTGATTTTACAGTTATTGACTTACTCTATGAAGGGTATCTGGTTAACTTGGAGTACGCAGACGATTTGTCCTGTTAGGTGAAGATATTGGGAAAATGTACCTTTTTTGGACATGAGCGGAAATCTGTTTACGTTTGGCATGCGTTTCGCACCTGTCAAATGTAAGATGATGCCTCAGGACTGATATGCACATATTCCCAGTTCAAAGATCGGTAGTTAAGTTGTGGAATACGTTGACCACTTCACTTTCATAGTTGCATCAGTCAAAATGAACTGGTTACTGAAGAAATTTCAGCTCGGACAGAGAAGGCTCACTTGGCACTTCCAACTTGCGTCATCTCTGGTACCGATGAGATATTCAACTACCTGTTAAAGAACAAGTATACTGCGCTGCAGCTTGTTTTGTCTTATTATACGGCTCACACATGGTCGCTGATAGTTAAAAATGTGAAGAAATTACTGGTATTCGAACACGCGAATTTGTAGCATTGCATACACATTGAGACACCGCGTGAACAATGTTGAGGTTAAGTGAAGGATACTAGGTAAGGAAGGGAAGTCAGTTGATGAGATTGTGAACTTCTACCAACTGAGGTGGCTGGGATGTATACTACACATATCGAGCCACCACTTATCCCAGTGTAGTGTTAGCTATAGTATGATTACATTGAAAGTTTCAGAGTAGCTAGACCAAGATGTGGCACCAGTCGATGAAGTCTCTGATTTTTGATATGGACGAGTAGATTACCTGGGTGGGTCTATGGAAGAAAAGGAACCATTGGTTCAAGACCCTTGATGAAATGGCAGAAAACTGGTCACAGAGGTGCAAATGTTTTCACACGATGTTGGCCGAGGTAGTTCCAGGCTGGAAAAAGGCTCGAGGTGGCCACACTAAAACATGTCACCAAAGTATGAAGTCTCTGACTGTTGGTTTGAGCCATGTGGGGTGATGCAGACTAGGTGGTCGGGGTCCGTGAGACAAGAGGAACCAGTGGTTGGAGACTAGGTGATGTGGCTTAGAACCGATGTCAATGGCGCAGATGTATACATACATAATCCTCATCTTAACGACTCTATACAGAATCTCACCACTTTCTGATTCTTCGTTTCTCTCTTTTCGTACTTTTGTTTCTTTTGACTGAATTCTCTTACCTTCATCTTGGGCTTCACTACCTTTTTACTTGATGTACTGATATGAGGTGTGGCAACTCGGACCGTTACGCAGTGATGCCTGTTCCTAGGTTGGTCTGGATGGATGATGGAAATATTTTCAATCTTTGAAGCTTGAACATCCTAATCTTGGTTCGCAAATTCCTTTCCATCCCATACATCTCTGTTTACTTTTGTATACTTCTTTCTCTATCTACTTGTACTTTGTACTCTGCTGTGAAGTGTAGTAACTTTAATCAAATCACTTTTGTGGGAGGTTCTGCGTTGATTTCGTCTTACTTTGTCTGACTTAAGATCCAACAATAGCAGACAGATTAGTAACTAGAAGGCAGTCAAACTGTTTCTTAAAGTATGAATTATGTGCTGACACTATTGGAATACAATGGCCATTCCAATCAGAATATATTTTCAGTACACTTCGTAACCCTATGGGAAGCTTGTTTGGATCAAAAGCAGTTGGGATGGTGTAAAGTAGTGCATGTCAACTTGATGAGTTCAAAGAAATTTATCTTAGCGCCTACCTCATCAAAAACTGAAAACTTGCTGAATATTCAAAAAGGGATAGGTTGTTTCCCTTATGATTGTGCTGACCTGAGAGCGCATAAAAAACAAGTAGTGTACAACAACGCAGTAGTAATGTAACTCAGTATGCGTTATACACTAGGTTATGAGACACCTATTGGGTGGGGAACTAACAGGTTTCCTAGACCAGATAGAGCAAGATCTGTACCAAGAGACGGTTGCTTGGAGATCGAAAGCTTAAGTCAATGAGCCATAGTTCTATAGTAATAGAGCATATATTTACCGGAGTAACGTGAAGATAACAACTGTTTTGCAGTCACAGTGAAGGAACATCGAGCTCCCCAGACATATATATATATATATATATATATATATCTGCAAAGTAGTTGTTGTCTTCGCTTTACTTCGGTGAATATACGCTCTATTACTATGGAACTATGATACTACTCTGACATCTGCATAGTCTGAAAATCGTAAATAAGTAAAACGGAACACGAAATTTGTTTGTTTGGTACGATTACTCAATATAGAAAGTTGAGTGTTACTTTTAGATGGACAGTAATCAGGGATTGCAAACTACTTTCAATCACATTCTTCATGTATCACCTCGTGAGCAGTATTTTTTATAAAACTATGTAACCACCTGAACAGATTGAACTTAGTTATCACCAACCGACAAGGAGGTACTTAAACCACCAGTAATTACAAGTAAGCAGATTACATGTATACCGACACATTTTTAAGAGGTCAGATTAAATCTTAATGTCAGCATCTAAAGCAGACGATCCACCTGTGGTATTAAAACACTTACCTTGAACAATTGTGTTTCTGTCATTTTTAATCCATTATACAGGTTAGCGAAGGCAGGATTGACTCCCTTTTGCAGCTGATCTTGGGGAGATGATTCAGTAGCAGCCGTTAGAATGTCAGCAACTTCCAGTAAATCTTTACAGAAACTTTGAATTCCAATAATTTAGCATCATCTATCTGCTTTAATAGACGTTTCCGCGTGTTTTCTGACTCAGCAAGAGCTCTCTTGTATTTATCTTCTAAACTGGCATATTTTTCGACTAACTGCTGCATTTCAACCTTTAAGCATTCCATATCTTGACCACTTTCGTTCGGAGATGTAGATTGCTCAGGATCTCCTGTGGTGAGTGTGGAATTGAGACGCAGTGTGGAACAACTTTTCACTTCGAATTGCACAGGATAGCTAACGTGAATTATAGCGTAGCAAAGGTGGAGACTTACCGAAACTGTGTCACGGGTAGTGAGCCGACCCTGGCAATGCGCGAAAATCTGGTAATAGACCTCAGCGCCATGAACGAGTTTGTTTACACAATAAGCCAATTTTACCGGCCAGAAAGGTCTTACTACTCTATTTAGTAACCGTGAAACGATTTTTGTGAAGATAGGTACTAAAAATCATAAAAAATGTTACTGAAGGAGATCGAACGTTTAAACGGCGCAGATTCAATAAAACAAACAAACAGTAGACACCAAGTTTGCAACCAGATATCTAACAAGACTGGGGAAACTGACGAAGAGAGGCCATCATCTGTATTTCCTAAACTATCGACAGATACTGAAATCGAGCTAACTTTTTATTAAATACCTAAGAAAACTAGTTAGGCTTTATAAATGGGCAGACGAGCAAGTAGTATTTACGCCGACACAATTCCTTACCATAGGAGTGAAACTTGGGCATTGTGATAGATTATAATCCTATTTTAGTTTATTTATTAAGTTCTGTAGGATGACAGGATTCTGGATGGAGAACTTCAAGGTGATCTCCAATCAGATAGTTGGGTCTAAGCGTCTGCGATAAGCAGGATGACCGAGTTGACTAATACATCGAGCTGATTCGGAATAAATAGACAGGATGACGCAAACCATTTCCTCAGTGCCAAATTTCTCTATAAAAAACCTACGCACCCCTTTAAAATAACCCGAAGTATATTGAAGAACTTTCGGCAACGCCCTAACTTGAACCAGCACCCTAGTCGTCACCTGAGATACAGAGTAATAAGACAGGGGTGTCTTAATGGATGAAAATAAGAGGTCCGTTCGCTTTTTGACCTTTAAAGAAGCCTATGTGCGCGAGCCTGTTTGCTCCATGTTGAATACAAGGCCTCACTACTTGGAATTCATATTCCAAGGGGGCAACAATCAGTCCGCATAGTATATAAAGTAACATAATTACATAGACGCTATTCTAGAATCTGTTGCTGTCGTAAAGTAATGAACCGCAATGACTTTTAAGTCGTCGCATTCGGAATAATGGAGTAGTATAAACACATTATCAATAGTCATCGGGATACTATATGCATTTACGCCCCGACTCAAGCTAATCTTCAGTGACAGTTTTGACAATGCGTTTCTACTCAACACAAAGCTAGACTGTTTTGTCGAATATAAATAATTCCTCTGGGATATATCCCAGATGGTGCTTATTAGCACCATCTGAAAACACGGAACAGGAAAGCCTGATCTCTAGTAGTAATTGGTTGGTGAACAGAAGAACTAATGTTCGTACAACGAGTATACTCAGGACCGACAGCTTACCAAGATGTCACAGTAGCGAAGGTCAACCAGCTCACGGGTGTGGGTTCAACTGACATCCAACAATCCGCCTGACCTTGAGGTACCTGAAAAAGGTTGGTCCAATCTCCAGTATCTTTTATCCAGCTAGTGTAAACCAATTGAATTCTTCGAGCTCGCTTCTAGGTCTTGCGGAACGCCTCCAGGTCTTTGGTGGATTCCAATGCAGTAGGTCTACCCACTCGACTGCTGTAGCTCTGGTCAACCCGACGGGTGCTTGTGTGTTGTTTAGAATTGTAGGGAGTGTTGTTTGTTTGCTTGCTTGTTCTTCCGGGGAGTGTGGTGCAAACGGGTTCCCCAAATGTCGTGCCAGCAGACAACTGGTCGGACTGGTTGTAAAAAGAAGATGAAAAATACGTGCAGAGAAATCAAGAGAGAGAAAGGGCAGGGGAGACAAGATAGGAAAAGAGAAGGAAAAACGGAAGAATAATGTGTAAAAAGAAGATTAGTAAGAGGGGAACGGCACGGAAGAATGAAACGTTGATGATAGGCAGAGCTTTTGTCAAAGTTTGAGAGCGTAAAGTCAGAAGGAAGAATAATAAAGTGATAGGGCGGACGGGAATATAGTAATTCTCCTAGTAGGAGACAGTAACTGGAGGGGACGTCTACAGGAAGGCATAAGGCTGAGCCAAGTTCTTAGTGATAGTGGTTTTACAAATTGTTCAGTAACAGTTGGTCGCACCGAGTTAGTAAGTCGTGTTGGCCTAGTCCATATCCCGGTTGGATGAGCGCAAACCGTGCGTCGCTGCGTAACGTCCAACCTCTTCTTGAGGCTGTCAACAAACGGAGCAGTAGCAATCTCTGCAGGTAATGCGTTCCAGTGGCCACAAACCCGCAGAGAGAAGAAGTGTGATCGCACACGAGTTCTCGCCCTTTGGTGAGCGATTTTCCTTGGGTTACCAAGAGGATCGCCGTAGTGGCCGTTCCGTAGGATTCCACTGTTCGGATGACTCGGGTTACCGAGTATTTTGTAAGCCGTTATCAAGTCACCAAGTAACTTGTGATAGCTTAAAGAGTAGAACCCCAGATCTTTCAGCTTGTCCTGATATGGTTTTTGCCTCATTCCTACGACACCCAATGCAGCTCGCCTAGGGACTTTCTCCAGGAGGTTCACGTCTCCTTTCAGGTGTGGTGGTGCAATGACGTTGTGTACCTCTAGGTGGGGTCGTATTTAGGTCTTATGTAGCTTCGAAAAGAGTTCCGGGGTCAGGGCACCCAACTGTCTGTGCATGAAGTGCAGTACTGCGTAGGCTCTGGAGGCATCTCCTGGATAATTGGAGCTAGTGTCTAGTTTTTCAGTTAGTGTTGGTCCTAGGTCTTTCTCTGTGGTGGTGTGGGAGGGTTGTGTTGCACGGAGAGAATGGGGTACATTCTGAGAGTCTGGGGTGCGAAGAAACATGGCTCGGCACTATCTAGGTTAAATGCAAGTCCATCAATATCCACCCACTCTGCAAGTAATCTGAGATCACTGCACTGCACTGCACTTGATTCCGTTTCTGACGTCACAGCTCTCCATAGCTTAACATCATCAGCGCAGAGTAGAATTGGGGAGCTGAGATTCAGTGGGAGGTGGTTCACAAAAAGAGGAATAGCAGCGGACCCAGAATCGCCCCTTGTGATACATCAGATGATGATATCCTCCAAGTCGAGCAAACTCTGCTGGATTTGTGCAGAACTGTCCACCGTCTGGATAGTCCTGCAACCATGAAAGCACTTGTCCCTTGATGCCCAACCTTTCTACTTTGTGGATAAGAACGGTGTGTGGAACTGTATCGGAGGCCTTAGTAAAATCCAGGAAAATAATATGGACAGGAATTTGGAGGTCCCAGCACGCCGTCTACTTATCATTTGCCGCCAGAATGTTTGTGGCACAGGACCTACCCTTTCTGAAACCATGTTGTGCATCACTAAGTGCTCCCCTTTTCTCTAAGTACTCCCTGAGATGATCGTCTACCGGACTGTCCACTACCTTTGACACCATTGGTGGGGGGCTAGGGATTGGTAGCATTTTGGGTTTCTGCCTGTTTCCACCTTTGAAGATGGGGGACAAAATAGCACTTTTCCACTCTTGTGAAAGCATGTGATTGTCTAAGGAGTGTTGAAACAAGCGGCACGGCAGACCGCACAAGGCACCCGTGCATTGTTTCAGCGTAACCTATAGGATATCACCACACCCTGGTGATTTCCCTGCGCGGAGCCTTGACAGTTTTCGAGGACCATAGCATGAGTTACCTTTGTTCCAGGTAATTCTACTGCATTTGGTGGTGCTGAATTTCGGTCGGGCAGTTGGTAATTTTGGTTTGATAGGGACGTATTGAGTCGCGTATCAAAGGTATCGCTAAAGGCTTCGGCGATCTCTAGTCCGGAGAGGTTCCCTCCGTCTAGGCCTTTCAGGACGCAAGCCCCTGGCTGGTGGATTTTCTGCATGCTATAAACCGATATGGGTTTTGGGATTTGCCTGGAGCTTTTGGGCAAGGTTCGTCCCGAATGACCTCCTGTCTCCCCCCAGTCTAATGTTGCACCGATTTCTTGAGGCTATATAAACGGTGTGGTCAGACACTTTTCTGGAGGTCCTCTACTTGTACCATGCTTTCCCCTTGGTTTTCGAAAGGCGTTCAGTGCCTCGCTTCAACCATGAGGTTCGTTTCCGCGGTACTGCTGTGATTACTAGAACGTTTTCAAAGACAGCCCTCTTGATGATATCTCTGACTAGTTCCCAGTGCTGGTCAATCGACAGGTTGCTCCGCTCCCAAGGCCTCCTATCAAGATACAAACTTGGGGTCAGAATACCCCCAGGCAAAACTGAGGGATTTGGACCCGATACTAGCAACAGAAAGAGTAATTTTAAGCGTATTCTTTCTGACAATGGTGAAGGGCGTTTCGTTGTCAAAAGGGTTCCATCACAAATGCGCACTATCAAGTAACATAAATCCACGCCTCGGAACAAAAAGCTATTAACTCAAATCTCTGTTCACAGCTCAGAGTTTAATGGCGAGTATTATGCCGCTACCAATCGTTTCGGCGAACGCATGAATCGCAACATGCCACCATCCAGAATTAGAACTAATCTTGTGGAGTCTACTCATTCCTACCAAAACAAGTGACCGGGGTACAACTCATACGGTCGTGACCCTAGGACAAGGCACATCACCCAACCTGCCAAACATGTCGACATACCTGGATTTTTTACTTTGAAAAACAAAGGAGGGTACGTCTGAAATTGTTACATTTTAA